CACCCACCCTAACATGAAGCCCACCCACCCTACCATCACCCTACTCGGAGACTCAGTGCCTGAGGGTCCCCATTAGCAAACAGTCCCATGGGAGCCTCTGTACACACTAGCCCTGGGAAGAGATTCAATCCATACAGCCCTGGCTGGGGGTGTTGCAGGTTTGGGTTTGAAAGTGCCTGAGAAATGTCAGCCCTGGGGAAGGCGGAGGCAGGAGGGGCGGGGGTCAGGGAGAGTGCCTGTGACTGGCCTCAGATCTGAGCTCTGAACTCCGGCTTGCTGGGCGTCTCTGCTGAGCCGCTAGACCTGGGCCTCAGTCTGCTCACATGTGAAACAGGCGCCATAGTAACTGACCTGCGTACAGCCCGTCGGTTCAGTCCCTCCATGTGGGGGGCACTGGGGGGGCCCCACCCAGAATGCGGCTGCAAGCAGGTGGGCAGGGGCCCGGGGAGTGGGCAAAAGAGGGTCATCAAGTGCCCACCTGCTGCCCACAGCTGCAGTCGGAGGAGCTGGGCCTGCGGGCACCACAGTGGGTCCGCGACAAGATGGTGACCATGTGCATGCGCTGCCAGGAGCCCTTTAACGCCCTCACACGTCGTCGTCACCACTGCCGGGCCTGCGGCTACGTGAGTGCCCCCGGCACCCCCTCCCGCCAGCACCCCGCCTCCCCGCCACCTCACCCGAGCCCTGTGCCCGGCACGGTGCTGCCTGCCTGGGCCTCAGCCGCCCAGCTGAGAAGCAGCACCTGCATCGTCCCGTTCTACAGACGGGAGGGGAGGCTCAGAGAGGCCAGGCCACTCGCTCCGGACGCTCCCCCAGTGACCCTATTCATTCACCTGATTTCTCACTATTTCCTGAGGCCCCCAGACCCAGCACCAGGACATGGTCTCCAGTGTCAGGGTGAGGGGCATGCAAACCCCTCAGGCCCTCTTGGGCCTTGCACCCACCACCTCAGCAGCCCCATGCCTGTTACACCGCCCCTCGCTGTCCTCGCTTCACGACTGACCTCCTGACCTCGGCTACCTGTCCTCTCCTCCTCTTCACAAGTCCTCAGCGCCCCAACGTCTGACAGTCCTGTCGCTAAGTGTGCCCGCCTGGCTCAGGCCTCAGCTTCCTCACCTGCGCAATGGGGATGAGAATACATGCCTCCAGGGTGGTGGCGAGAACGCAACAAAGGAAGGTGCCCCCTTCCTGCTCCTTCTGCTCCTTCCCTCCCCCTGGATGGCTCAGGTCACAGCCCCCTGCGGAAGGGGCCTGTCCACTGCAGGCCCAGCTCCCCTGGCTTTGTAAGCACCTGCCGCACTCCAGCTGTTCTCTGCTGACATCACAGCCCGCTCCCTTCACTCTGCAAACAGAGAAGTCCTTTCCGACCTTAGTCTTTAGTGAACTCTGGGGGACAGGAGACCAGCTAGGCAGGCTGGGTCAGGGAGGTGTCCCTGAATTGTGTTAAAGTGCAATCAGAACACAAAGTAAATGTCTAGGACTGGGGACCCACCTATGTTGAGATTTAAGTGACAAGCCACATCCGGATCTGGGGGTTAACGACTGTTCTTGGTGATTCACGTCTGTAAATAAGAGTTGAGTCCATTCACACTTGCAACTTAGTAAGTAGTTTCTTAAAAAAAAATATTTAAAATAGTTAAGAAATACAGAAAGGCACAAAAGATAATATAACAACCTAGAAAGCAGGTACATGGAAGAGAGAAAATATTGTGACAACTAAGTGAAATGTACGATCCTTGATTAGGTCCTGGATCGGAAAACAAAAGCAGCTCCAAAGGTCGTTATTGGGACCACTAGGGGAAATGTGGTCATGAGCCATATATAAATAATAACATTGTATTGATGTTAAATTCCTGAGTGCGCTCATGAGTTGTGTACAAGCAGAAGAGTGTTCTTGCTCCTGGGAGATGCCAGCTGTATATTTAAGGGTGAGGTGTCATGATGACTATAATTTATTCTCAAATGGTTCAGGAAAAATAAAATACACATATACAGAGAGATTATGCAAATGTGGCAAAATGTTAACAGCTGGGGAGTTGAGTGGTGGGGGTCTCATTTATTATTCTTTCAACTTGTCTGCAGGTTTGAAATTTTTCAAAATGAAAAGCTGGTGGAGTAGAAAGGAAATATACAGTAATAATATTAAAAAATTAAATCTCAATAAAAAACAAAATAAAATACTGGCAAGGGAGTTGAAGCCCCGGTGTGAGGATGTGCAGCCCGTTGGCCCGATTTGGGGGTGTCTCCTGCCTGTGTATACCTTTGTACTCTGTGAGTCATCCTTTCGGTGGTTTGGTGCCCAGTTTCTGTCTCCCGCCTGCCAGACGGGAATCCTGGTGAGGGTGGGGCAGGCCCAGGCCTCCTCCTGGGGGCCCTCCCGGTNTCGGTGGTTTGGTGCCCAGTTTCTGTCTCCCGCCTGCCAGACGGGAATCCTGGTGAGGGTGGGGCAGGCCCAGGCCTCCTCCTGGGAGCCCTCCCGGTCACGTGCTGAGCTGGGCACACCCAGCAGCTCACTGATGAATAGCCCCCCCTCTCCTCTCTATCTCTTGCCCTCATTTCCAAGCCCACATCCTGGACTCACTGTGACACCCAGTCTTCCTGGAAGCCGAGTCCCGCAGCACCCGCGTTTCTTTCCGAGTCCCGTCAGGCCCTCTCACCCGGCCTCCCCAGCACGAGCCATGTGGGCCTCCTTGGAGGCCTCTCTGTGGTGGGCTGGGGGTGGCCCACTCCACCGAGTACTCATGGCAGGTCTTCCTGGCAAGAACAACCAGCCCATCATTTTTCTATTAGAGCATGCTTGGCTGTAGGATTGAGCAGAATGCAAAATTTGCATGAATCTTAAATCTAAACTGTGGAAGGACATGTCCTGTTGGTGGAGGGCCGGTGGCTGCCGGTGAGCTGTGCGGCCCTAGGCAAGCGGCTGCCCCCCTGCTCCCTGTGAGGTGACAATGAAGGCCCCAGGGCTGGGCCCCAGGCAGGCTGCTGGGAGTCCAGGGAGATGGTAGAGGGGACAGAGAGCACTGGGAGGAGTGGATGGGCTCCCAGGGTGTGCAGGGCAAGCCGCTGGGATTAACAGCTGCCTCCACTAAGGGGGAATCTGAAGGGGACAGAAACCAGGCACCTGCAGCTGGGGCCAGGTGTCAGCCCCCAGCTGGGGAAGCCCAGAGCGTGAGCTGTGCTCCTGCATCCACATGGGGGGGCCCGGGCAGCGGCCCCCTGCCAGGACCCCTCTCTGCCTCAGTTCCTCTCTGAGCCTTGCTGTTTCTCCCCCTGTCCCTGGCTGCGCTCACACCCCCACTCCCCAGCCAAGGTACAAACATGGTCCCCTGCCTCACGGGGGCCCACGCCCCTCCTGCCCCTCCTCCCCCAGGTGGTGTGTGCCAGGTGCTCCGACTACCGGGCTGAACTCAAATATGACGACAACAGGCCCAACCGAGTCTGCTTGCACTGCTACACATTCCTCACCGGAAACGTGCTCCCTGACGACAAGGAGGACAGGAGGCGAGGCATCCTGGAGGTGAGGGCCACCATTCCTCCATTTGGCAAATGTGGACAGGGTGCCCGCCACATGCTGGCACTGTCCTAGGTGCTGAGGAAAAGCCTGCTGTGGTCGCACTCTCCCGCCTCTCTGCCCACAGACACCCCTCATTCCTCCCCGCAGCAGAGCCTGGCCTGTCACCAAAGGAAAGCTCCAGGCTGTCGTCCAGGCTCTTCCACCTCCCCTCTGTGTCCCCACCCAGCAATCACACAGCGTCTCTGGACAGCCCCTGCTCATGTCCCCATCATCTGCCCGATAGTCCCAGGAGACAGAGAGAGCTGGTGTTACTGTTTCCATTTTACAAATGGGGAAACTGAGGCTCCAGGTCAGGGGCTCACTGCTGGAAAGAGGCAGACTGGAGACTCCATTCTGACCAGATGGGACTCAGGGACCTATCCCATGGAAACCCAGGCCCAGGGAAGCAACTTGCCCAAGGGCTCCCAGTGAGTTAGGAGCCAGCTCCGACGTCCTCTCTGCTGCCCTAGGGGCCTGGCTGAGCCACTGCCTCCCTCAGGCGCTCCCTCCTGGCCAGCACCTATGGGGCACTAGCTGTGTTCAGCTTCGTGGTACAAATACAACGTAACCCAACCCTGCACAGGTTACCACTGCCCTCTGCCCCCCCCCCAGTAAAGGCCAGGTGGACATCCCACTGCCCCTGGGAGCTGGGAGAAGACCCCAGCTTATTCCAGCTAAACATGGCTCCCAGGTTTCAAGTTGGTTCCTTTCCATGGGCATCTACCTACTTTCCAATGCTCCCCCTTATTCTAGGGCCAGCCCCTGCCCACACCTCTCTCACTATTAGGCCACACAGTCTGCTCCTGGAAAGAGGGGATGGTCAGCCCCTTCTCCGGCTNTTCCAATGCTCCCCCTTATTCTAGGGCCAGCCCCTGCCCACACCTCTCTCACTATTAGGCCACACAGTCTGCTCCTGGAAAGAGGGGATGGTCCGGCCNTGCTCCTGGAAAGAGGGGATGGTCAGCCCCTTCTCCGGCTTCAGTTGTGTTCCCTGCGGGAACTTTCAGGTGATAAGCCCTCCCAGCACCTGCCCCAAGTTCAGGCTGGCCAGGGTTTGGCCACATCTCTGCCACTGGCCAGCTGTGTGACCACAGACCCATGATAGGACCTCTCTGAGCCTCAGGGACACATAGCCCCTTGTTGCAGGGTTGCTGCAGGGATTAGAAATAGTGATTGTCCAACCAGAGCAATGTCTGCCACATAGTGGGACTTTTGTTCTCTCTGATTTTAGAAAGGCTCCACGGCGGGATCTGAGCGGAGCCTCATGTGTAGCTTCCTGCAGCTCATTGGGGACAAATGGGGCAAGAGCAGCACCCGCGGCTGGTGTGTGATCCCCCAGGACGACCCTCTCGTGCTCTATGTCTATGGTGCCCCTCAGGTAATGCCTCCACCTGGCCCCCAGCCTTGGCCCTCTCACAGCATTGCTGGCCCCATATCTCAGATGCAGAAACTGAGGCCCAGTGAGGACTAGTTCTCTGGAGTCACAGCATTAGTGGCTTTCAAAGCTGGGCCCAGACTCCTGTGCACGATTGCTTTGTCCTCAAGGGGCAGCCAATTCTCCTCTCCCCTGACGCCCTCCCGCCAACCCTCCAGCCTCCTGGGTGTGTGGGAGGTGGGAGGCAGGGGTGTGGCTGTGACCTGCAAATGACTATCTGAGGCAGGGGGGCCCACAGCTCTCTCCTCCCTCCAGGACATACGGGCTCACACCTCCATCCCCCTGCTGGGCTACCAGGTGACCGCTGGGCCCCAGGGGGACCCGAGGGTCTTCCAGCTGCAACAGTCGGGCCAGATCTACACCTTCAAGGCTGAAACCGAGGAGCTGAGGGGCCGCTGGGTGAGAGCTGTGGAGCGAGCGGCCAGCGGCCGGAGCCCCGGGGAACCCAGTGACGGGGACCTGTCTGACTGAGCCCAGCCGGCCACTCTCCCGCTCAGAGCCTGGCTCCTGCCACGGACTGCCCGTGGCCTCTGTGACCACACCCCAAGCTGAGCTCGATCGATTTCCAGTCACCTGTGCCCAGACCGAGTGTCCTGATTTGGTGACAGAGGGTCCTGGTTAGCCCAGCGTTGAGGGGGTTCCTGGGACATGGGACTTTCAGTGGTAAAACCAGGAAAATCCCAGGTCACCCAGGACTGTTGGTCACCAGTGTGGTTCTCACCTTGGGCTGCATGTTAGTATCACCTGGGATCTTTAAAATATACCCCTTAAAAATATAAAAATAAACTAAAAATTTAAAAATACCAATGCCTGTAGACATCACCAAAGACTTCTGGTTTAATTGGTCTGGGATGGGGGAGGTTTGGGTACATCTCGGGAGCACCCCCGTGAGTCTAATGTGCAGCCTGGGTCACCCGGATGGAGAAGAAACAGCAGATGATCACTGGCTGAGCACCTATCAAGTGCCAGGTATGATAGTAATAATAATAATAATAATAATAAACATCTGGGCCAGGCACTGTGCTTGACATGGATTATCTCCTTTTACTCTCAGGAGTAATATCCCCACTTTCCAGATGGCACACTGAGTCTTAGAGTGGTTTAATCATCGGCTCAAGACCACACAGCTGCTAGATGCCTGGGCCAGGCTTTAACCTGGTACACTAAGGTCAAAACTCTATCAGGTAGCAGAGCGACAGGGCCAGCAAAGAGGGGGGGGCAAGTGGGAGAGGAAAAGGAGGGAAAGAGCAAAGAAAAGGGGGAAGACAGGAGCGAAGAGGTGGAGGAGGGAGGGCAGGAACCACTCAGGCCGCCTGGCTCGGTGAGGCTGCTTGTNAAGAAAAGGGGGAAGACAAGAGCGAAGAGGTGGAGGAGGGAGGGCAGGAACCACTCAGGCCGCCTGGCTCGGTGAGGCTGCTTGTTCATAAGGAACCACCAGGGGGTGGCAGTGGGCAGCAGGCCACATGCAGTGGCCCCTGCCTGGGCCCTGACACCCGAAGCCACGTCCCTCAGGTCCAGGCAATGCCAGGCTCTGCCCTTGAAGACAACAAACAGACAAGTCATAAATCTTTGCCCGGTTCCAGGCCCAGCAGTTTGCCTGCCCCCAACCTGCGGCTACCTCCCTCCTATAGAGTGTTTTTAAAAGCCCAAGAAAACCTTCTTGGCACAATCTCTGGGGACCAGACTGGCCAGGAGTTCATCCTTTCATTCAACAGTATTTGCCAAGCATATTCTATGAGCCCAGTGCAGTTCCTGTGCTGGGAACGAGACAGACAAAAATCCTGCCTTCATGGAGTTTATATTCTAGTGGGGCAGAGATCGTCAACAGAAGAAGCGTGTAAAATGTAGAGCACATCAGGTGTGCTAAGTGCTTAAATGTGGAGATGAACCATCCTGGACTTTCCTAGTTTTACAACCAGAAGTCTCAAGTCCCAGGAGACCCTGCAGTTCCAGGCAAACCAGGATGGTTGGTCACTCTAGTGACAGAAGACAAAGCAAGAAGGGGAATGAGGGAGAATGGTGTGTGTGTGCGTGTGTGTGTGTGTGTGTGTGTGTGTGTTTAAAAGGAAAATCAAGGAAGGCCTCACTAAGATGATGTTTGAAAACAACCTCAAGGAAGGAAATAAGGGAGGGAGCTACGCAGATATCTGCCGGGGAGCATTCCATGTGGCAGGAACAGCCAGTGCAAAGGTCCTGAGGTGGGAGCCTGCCCAGTGTGTGCAAAGAACAGCGAGGAGGAGAGTGTGGCTGGAGCAGAGGAGACAGGCAGGAGATGGTAGGAGATGACGCTAATCGTCACTAAACTAAGGTGAGGGGCCAGGGGAGGCAGATGGGAGGCCTTCAGAGGGCTGAGTGAGAGGGGAGTCATTGGAGGGGTCTGATCCGTTTTAACAAACCCTCCTGCTGCTTGTTGCCATAGGCCCAAGGGGGCGAGGGTGGAAGCAGTTTGCAGGCTGAGGACCCAGGGAGCCGCAGCCGCTCGCATGCGGGGAAGGGACTGCGTTCTGCATTGATTCTGAAGGCAGATGGAGGAAATTCCTTACGGAGCCAACGTGCTGGGAGAGGAGGAGCCAGCGGCGCCACCGGGCCTCTGACCTGAGCGCCACTGACTGGGGGAGAAGGCGGCGCAGGGACAGGGTGGGGGCAGCTGAGGTGTCCTCACCCTCCCGGCCAGCAGGGGTCTCCGGGCGCAGCGCCAGGTCTGGGCTGGGGTGTAGTCGTGGGAGCTGTCATCCCAGAGACGGGGTTTAAAGCATGCGTGAGACAGAGGGAGAGGTCCCTGCACTCACCCCGACATTCTAATACTCACCCCGACATTATAACTGCACACCTGCCAAAAATCTAACTGCACACACCCCGGCATTCTAGCCACTCACCCCATATTCTAGCAACAAGCACCCCGACATTCTAACTACACTCACCCCGACATTCTAACTGCTCTCACCCCGACATTCTGACTGCACTCACCCCGACATTCTAACTGCTTTCACCCAACATTCTAACTGCACTCACCCCACATTCTAACTGCTCTCACCCCAATATTCTAACTGCTCTCACCCCGACATTCTAACTGCACTCACCCCACATTCTAACTGCTCTCACCCCAATATTCTAACTGCTCTCACCCCAACATTCTAACTGCTCTCACCCAACATTCTAACTGCACTCACCTCAATATTCTAACTGCTCTCACCCCGACATTCTAACTGCTCTCATCCCAACATTCTAGCTACATACACCCCGACATTCTAACCCTGAGAATTTACCAGAAGGAGACGGACAGGCGGGTGTGACAAAACTGAGCACTTGTTTTCGACAGTCCCCGCGTTGGAAGCTACACACGTGTCCCTCCAAAGGAGATTCACGGAATGAACTCCTGCCGGTGGCGAGGGGAGGCCCAGGAAGCGCAGCGGCATCCACGCATCCACGCGTGCGGCTCTTCGGAGAGGCTGAGATGCCCACGTGCTGAGGGGGAAGGCGGGGTGTTAAGTGGTAACTACAGAAGGAGCTGACCGGCAACCTTTCGGTGCACAGGACACCGCTCAACCCACTGAGCCACACTGGCCAGGGCTGCTTTCTTCTTTAGATGCTCTGTGGTATTTGAATTTTTTTTTCAATATCACTTATTACTTCTGTAATCACAAGAACAAAAGTGCCTTTCTTGTGTTAGGGGGAAGATGAAGGAAGAACAAAGGGCAGGTCAGCCCTCCCCAGAGGCCTGACCTGCCACCACTCAGGGTCACGAAAGCCTCAGTGCCAGAGCCCAGAGGCAGTGTCCCAGGGGCTACTGGGAAGCACCCAGTGGGAATGGGCTCACTTACTATTCCACGAATGACTGTGGGACGTGAAAACAAAAAGTGACCAGGGGTAGAGCAGAGCCTGGACCTGGCCATACCCAGGATCTCACCGGAGAGCCATGGACACTGAGAGGGTGCTGTCCTTGGGGCTCTTCTCCTGGGAGCTCAAAGGGGCCTGTGTCACCTAGGGGAGCCCCAGCATTCCCTGGCAGCACCTCACCCTGGATTTGCTCGCACGAAGGCACAGCATCCCAGGCTCAGGGCTGCATGAAGCAGCGAAGATGTCTCAGGGCTCAGAGCTTTACTACTCAAAGTCCTTGCTTCTAAAAGGCTGGAGGCTCCCCCAGCAGTCTGGTGGCTGCCCCTGGAGGGAGAGCTCAGGGGGAGGAGGGAAGGCTGGCAGATGCCAGGGTGGAGCATCTGGGAGGACCCAAGTCAGCTTCAGGGCCTTGCCTCTCTCCCTGCTTCCCTCCTGGGAAACTCCCTTCCAAGGAGGTGGTTCTGCTGCTGGCACCATGGGGCTCTGGGAGCAGCATTCATTCATTCATTCATTCATTCATTCATTCATTCATTCATTCATTTCTTCCTACGCAGGGAACTCTCAGCACACATCACCTCATTTCCTTCTGACATCCGTTCAAGGGCCCATGGGTTTTTTGTGTGTGTGTGTTTTTTTAATGTCTTTTTTTAGTGATTTCAGAAAGAGGAAGGGGGAGATAGAAACATCAATGATGAGAGAAATCATTGATCGACTGCCTCCTGCATGCCCCCTACAGGGGATTGAGCCCGCAACCCAGGTATGTGCCCTGACCGGGAATTGAATGGTGACCTCCAGGTTCATGGGTCGACTCTCAACTACTGAGCCACCCCAGCTGGGCAAGGGTCCATGTTTTACAAATGGAAAAGGTGAAACCAAGTAAGGCTAAGTAATTTGTCCATGATCCCCCAACCTGTAAGAAATGAACCTAGATTCAAACCCAGGTCCATTTGATTCCAAAATGTGACCCCAGCCGGCATTGGGGGGCAGCACCTCCCAGTGGTTAGTGGGTCCAGGCCACCAAGCAGCTCTGCCACTTACTGGCTATACTGTCTTGGGCAAGACTTCACTACTCTGCCCAAAGGGGGATAACTACACTCCTCCTCCCTGGGGACTTGAGGGGTTGTCAACTGAGTGAACAGCACTCAGAACAGAGAGGGCCACATGTGATCACTGCCAGTGTTCGCTGGGCAGCTCTTTACACTGTTTCGTCTTCATGCGCTGCAGTGCACATTTAGGCTGGGGCTGTGGCATCAGCATTTTAAAGCGCACCAGTAAACCCTGGCCGGTTTAGCTCAGTGGTCAGAGCGTCAGCCCACTGACCAAGGGGTCTTGGGCTTGATTCCCTGTCAAGGGCACATACCTGGGTTGCAAGATCCCTACCCCAGTCGGGGTGCGTGGGGGAGGCAACCAATCAACATGTCTCATTGATGTTTCTCTCTCTCCCCCTCCCTCCTTTCCTTCCACTCTCTCTAAAAATCAATGGAGAAAATACCCTTGGGTTAGGATTAACCAATAAGTAAGTAAGTAAATAAGTATATAAAAATAAATAACACTCACCAATTCTGATGGACAGCTTCCTCTGAAGGGCAGGGCCAGTTCTTGAGTCCAGGGGTCCCCAAGGGTTCCCAGGAGGTTATTAGTTTGAGTAAGGGTGTGGGGAGAGGCCTCACTAAGGTGCTAAATGAGTTAGGTTTATTGAGGGATAATTTACATAGAGTAAAATCCACCCTTTATAGTATAGTTCTGAGTCTGAGCAAAAGTAACC